ATATCTTCATAAGAAATCTAGAGCTATAGAGTGAAGGAGGGGTCCCTTTATCTTTGAGTCAGTTTCTGCTCTCGATTTTTGCCCCCAATTATTCATCTCACATGTGACTTTAAGGTAACCTAAAAGTTTATTTAGCAATCAAATATAGAAATGAGGAATCTTACACCTATTTTTTCCACCAACCATTTAATAATTGTGTTTTTTGTTTCTTTCATTTCTGCCTGGGATTGACCCCAGGGTACCTCACAAGGTAGGCAGAGCTGTGCCACTGAGCCACGTTGCCCAGTCCTAATCATTCAGCTTTAATACTGTACTCAGATTAGCTCACAGGTTTGTAACCCCACAGTTCTTGCATCTTGTAAGAAATTTACTTCTCACTGACGCAGTTACCCTCAATATTCTGAGATTCTTGGTGTTTCCATAAAGAGACAGTGAATGATAAGGAGGCTAATTTAGCCATAAAAGGAATATTCATGGCTGCTACAGATTATCTAATGTTTGCATCCACCATCAATTATTTACATTCTATTCTGCATAGTATTTGGGGTTTATTTTCAACATTTGAAGCAATAGGATTTTCTATGTAGATTTTTCTGTAATATGCTCAGATGAACAATGTGATTCTACTTTATCTTCCTTTTATAGGGTAGTGTTTTTGTAATGAAGACTTGCTGGGGATAATAGAATAGATGATCTATGTACCAACTCTGCAAATCACAGAAGAATATCTTTTAATTCAGTTCATTTATAGTCTCAGAAAAGTTAATGTGTCATTTTACTGAAATAACCTCACAAGATATAAAATAGAAAGTGAATGAGATGTATGTATGACATGGAAACTGCATCTCAGTAAAGCTGTTACTTAAAATGAATTTTAAAAGCTAGAACTCCAGGTGAAGGGTAGGATTAGCATTTGCATGTGTTTTTTGGAAGTGTATTGTCATTCTTTTTTTTTTTTTTTTTTTCATTTTTAAACTAATCCTTGTGGAAGTTACTTCATTTCAACAAAAGTACTATCTAATATGCTTTCTCAGGGTTGTCTGAGTAGTTTTCCACTGTTACTGCTTTATCCAAAACCTCATTATTATTTATTCTGGAGCCACTTGTGTATCTAAATGTAGTGCCAAGATATATTTAGGAGATTTTATAATTGCTTCTGTAGTACAAACAGAGGAGAAATAACTGAAAATAAGAGTAAGAATGGTCAAAAAGATAGTGAGAAATGGAGAAATAAGTGATCAGTCCTTGAGTTTTTTACTGTGCATTCCTTGCCAGGGACTGCTGTGGACATAGGTGTGTCTGACAGTGGTGTGTAGGCAGATGCTACCCACTCACAAACCTCTCCAGCCAGGGCACCTTTGCAGTGCTGCCAGTCTCGCTGGCTTGGAAAGTTGTCTGTTTGTATCTCTAGTCAGTATTTCTTCTCATTCTGAGAGTCTCAGTGTGCACTTCCAGTATTGTTGATAGCTGTCATCTGAAACTTTATTAATGTTAATTCAAAGGGTAAAGTATTGTAGGGATTTGTACTGTTAAAATACCAGTCTTTGGGATACTTCTTTGAATATCACACACTGCATGACTTCCAGTTACTCTTAGTTCTATTTAATATGAACTTATATTTTTATGTCTTATTTGCTAGGTATGGCATTTCAAATGTAGATGCAACAATTGAAGGAACAGCAGATGACATGACTGTTGTAGATGCAGCTTCATTAAGACGACAGGTATTTAATGTGCCATTGTATTTCTAAGTTACGTTCATTTAAAGTGATAGCTTATAACATTTTATCATCTTCTGTAGAACCCATATTAAATCATAATTTTCCTACCTTAAAGATCATTTAAACCACCATCTACATAATTTTAATCAGAATGAAACAGTATCACCAAAATAGATTGATATAATTCTGGCCAGTAACAGAAAATCGTGACATGTTAGCAACCCAGGATAACTATAAATTGGTTGTTTGATTTTCCATATGTGAACCGATCTTTGGGACTTCTGTTACCATGTCTAATGACCCATTTTTGGAAACCCTGTATATCTTCTGTTGTACGTTCTGTCCTGGAACTACACTGCATTTATATATGCCCACACATGTGGGGAGAACATATTTTGTGTTCCCGGCGTATATTCCAGATAGATGCAAAGGGAAAATGAATGCAGTGTAGTGTTTTTGTTTTGGTTTTTTGTATTTTAGGGAAGGGTCTACAGGGTGTTCAGGGTCTCACTACTAGATCGGACTCATGGTGATCTGCCTGTTTACAGCCTCCCAAGAGCTGGGATTACAGGTGTGCACCACCACGCCCAGTCTCAGTTGCCATCTCAGTGCGCCCCAGGGGCGGGGCCAGCATAGCAGGTCTGGGGATCAAACCCCCAGCTCCTGCACCTGCTTGCAGGGGCTTTAATCTGCTGAGCTACTTGGCCAGCCACAATGTACTATTTTTAAATAAAGATTAACAAAAGAACATGTGTTTAAACAAGGCTGTTTTTTAGCCCACAGCTATTTTTAGCTGGCAACCTTTGTAACAGCTGGGAAGTCATTAGCCTTTCAGACCCAGAGTCATCGGGGTGGCATATCACAGGGCCCTGTGTACTAGATTAGTTACAGTCAGGGACTTAGAGTGGAGAGAGGAAACAGTTACACCAGGTTGAGAATGAATAGCTGAGGCTGACTGTGGGCTCATGGAAGGACCATCACAAGGGGCGGGAGTCTCGTGTTCTTCCTGCAGTGGAGGCTACACCAAGTGAGCCTTAAAAGCTTAACGCTGTCCTCCCTCATCATCTAGTCAAGGAAGGAGGTACAGCCTGTCTAACTTAGAAACTTGGAGGAAGGAAATGGAGAAGTGTGTTTAAGTGAATTTACCTTATCCTGAGTAATTGTGTTTGTTTTGCTACAAATAAAACTTTCCATGTTTGTAGTAATTCTTTTGACAGATCATTACACTGCTTTTTAAGAATTGATTGCTTTGTGCAGTAAAGTTTTATATTTTGTGTTTGTTTTTTTACATAGATAATCAAACTAAATAGACGCCTACAACTTCTAGAAGAGGAAAACAAAGAACGTGCTAAAAGAGAAATGGTCATGTATTCAATTACTGTTGCTTTCTGGCTGCTTAATAGCTGGCTCTGGTTTCGCCGCTAGAGGTAACCTCGGCGTTCAGATATATTGTCTCAGCTGTTGGAAATATAAAGGATTTACAAACGTCTTTGTTTCTGTCTTTGCAGTGTATGCGATTTTATATAGCCCATGCCCTAAAAAAATGTATTTCTTCCAGAAAGTAGGGGAAAGGACCTATATTTGTAGAAGTAAGGTATATTCTGTCCCTCTGCTGTACTCTCTTTAAGCTAGTTCTGCAGTAACATCTTACGTATAATTCTTTTGCATGTTTTGTAAATAGGTACTATTTTGTTTTTTGGTTTTTTTTAATTGGTTTTTAACCTCACCAGTCTGCACAGCTGATTCTCTGAAAGGGAGAGAGAATGCATCAGGAATGATTTGGAAGGGTGTCTGTAAAGAAAATAAGTGTTTTGTGCTGCTTACCACTAGGAAGCAGTTTTGTTAATAGACATTTTTGCACCGCCTTTGGACATTAACACGATGTCATGGTCTGGTACCAGATTTAAGAAAATCAAACCACCTAATATTTCATGATCACCTGTATAAATTAAATTGATTCCTAACAATACAGAAGTAATATATATGTGGTGTGTGTGTTTTTTTCATTTTAGTTTAGCAGATAGTTTTCTATAAAATACATTTTTACTAAGTCCCTGTGTGAGCAACTTAAAAAAAAAAAAAAAAAAATTCATTTTAGTTTAGCAGATAGTTTTCTATAAAATACATTTTTACTAAGTCCCTGTGTGAGCAACTTAAAAAAAAAAAAAAAAAAAAGACTAAGGTACAGATGTAGTGTATTTAATAAACTGTCAACCAAAGCTAGCGTTGTCTGTGGAGTCATTTGACTGTGCTGTGCTGTGCTGTGCTGTGGCCTCCCCGCCACACTGTGCTGCCATGCCCAGTCTGCTTGACGTGGGCGGTGCAGCCAGGAATGTGGAGGCAACAGGTGCCCCCATTCGAGTCTTCATCCTGGTGGGCATTGGTCAGAGATGTTTTTGTAATTTATTATGTCACTGAAGTGCTTCAGATTCAAATAGCTTGAGTTGTGGGTTTTACTTTTCGACGTACTTGGTAATAGTGTAAATCTCATGAGAATTAAACAGTCCAGTGAGACTAAGCCCTGGATGTCTTTAGTTCTCAGAACTATTTTCCCTTTTTGGTTCAGAAACAGTTCAGTTAGATACAGCATTCTGCACACACACTCTTCTTTCTACCAAAGAGTGAGCTTGAGGAGGAGCAGTTAATTCCTTAGATATGAGGAGATTTTTTGTTGTGTTTATTCTTCCCTCTCTTCCCTCCGGAAAAAAATGCTAGGAGTATAATGATTCTTTGTTCTTAGGTTTTTTGAGAGTTTGATGATAGTACTGGGCCCGTGGAAGTTTTCCTTTCTGAATGTTGATGACATTTTAATGGCACCATGGCTGTATTCTAGCTTTATGTGTACAGCCCTACCAGTTGACAACACAAAAATAATAAAAATGGTGGGTAAGTTATCACCTCTTTTGGGGAACAGGCACAAGAGGGAGCCCATGAGGCCAGAACTGCAATAAAAACAGGAATCAGGAGATAAGTGCAAAAGCTGTTTATGTTTCTGGGCTGGCTGTTTGTTTTGTTTTGTTTTACCACACACTGGAGACCTGACTATTTTAATGGTTTTACAAAGAGACAGCAGATAGAATTATTTTCCCTGGTCAAGCTCTGACTATAGCAGGAGACCCATGGCTAAAGCAGGGGCCACAGACAGTACTCCCTCTGTGACAGGTAAACGAGAGCTTTCTCAAAGGGGACAACAGCATGGCTTTAAATTATAATATATTAAATACAGAGCTTGACTCTGGCTTCAGAGTCAGACTTTATTATTCTAACTCCTCCCCAAAAATTATTGAGCACAGACTGGACAGGTAGCTCAACAGTCTTAAATGCCTGCCTGGCAAGCACAAGGATTCAGTTTTCAACCCTGGGACTGTATGCCCTGCTGACCTGGAACCCCACGTGCACTGTGCTGGCCACGGAAACTGGGCATAGTGGTGCACACCTATAATTCCAGCACTGGGGAGACTAAGATGGGATCAGTATGAGTCCAACCTGCATAGTGAGATCCTATACCAAAGAAATAAAAGATTTTTTTAATTATTAATCACTGTTGAGAAAAAATGCTTGAGATTACAAGCAGTGAATTCATTCCTGAAAGATTAAAAAAAGAAATAGTAAATGCATTATTGTTACACTATTTTCAGAACTCTAGGGTGTGGTGGCGTTTTGTTTGTTTCTCCCAGTTCTGAGAATACTTACCTGAAGCATTTGCAGATTGTTTAGAGAGGTAATTTTACAAAAATAGTGTATTTTTGAGAGAGTTCTCCTTTTCTACATGAATATCTCTTTTTCAGCTTCTCAGCTGTAATTAGAATTGAAGTTGAATTGTTTCCCTGGGCCTTGAATCTAGAAATGTTTATCATAAATGTTCTTTGAATTATAATGAATTATTTCAGTAAGTGCAGACTTGCTTATGTGCCTACTGACCTGAGGAACGAGCAGTTATAGAAGATATGACACAAACACTGCTCTTGAGGAATTGAGAGATTATGGGGCATAGGGAGAAGGCTTTTGAAGAATAAGAGTATCCCTCCAAGTGTGGTGCATACCTGTAATCCTATCACTTAGGAGGCTGAGGCAGAAGGATCAGTGTAATCCGGGGCCAGCCTGGGGTGCATAGTGAGATCCTGTCTCAACAAATAGCAACAAAAACTTTTTTTTACTAAGGAAGAGGAACTTGGAGTATGTGTTACAGGGCAGGGAGGGAGCAGAGAATCTTAGGTGGCAGATAGGGTAAAAACAAAACAAAAAAAAACAAAAACGCATAATGACTCCAAAATGAGACTGAATTTGGTGGTGGGTATGAGAGTTCAATGCCAAGCCAGACCTCTGGATAGATGCCTATAACCCCAGCTGTTTATGAGGCAGAATCAGAAGGATCACAAGTTCTAAGCCAACCTTGGCAACTTGGTGAGACTCTGGTCTCAGAAAAGTAAAAAAGGCTGGGTATGTGGCTCAGTGGGGACATGGGGGAGGCCCTTAACTCAGGCCCCAGTACGGCCAGGAAAACACACATGCACATTGAGCTTTGCAAGTGATAAGGTGCATTTAGTATGGGGTGAGGGAGGGTGTTGGTTGTATCTGTACAGCCATGTGTTTGGAGTACAGGTCCCAGATCAGACATGGTGTGCCCCCAAAAGACTGCAAGTAGCCCATAGACTTCAGATGCTTCATTCGTGGCAGCAGTTTCCCTAATTGTGAACAGTAAAGAAACCACCAGCTCTTTTGGCTGATTGTGTCCTGCCAGTCAGTCTTCGCTCTGAAGCGGGAGAGAAGTGTCTCTTCCCAGGCCTGCAGGGAACTGAAGTAGTGTTTCCCCCTGCTATGGTACTGAGAGTGTCGTTCACTCAAGTACAATGGGCTGTCACAGTCTTTTCACCTGTTGTGATCTCATGGCAGTTTGCAGTGTGACATTCATTTAGTAAGCGTAGTCTTCACTAGAAACTGGGTATTAAAGATAGGGTTCACCAATCATTGGACAAAGTGTGTACAGTGACCCACCCAGCTTTGTACCAGGCTCCGTGCCACCTCCTAATTATCCCAGGAGTGAGTAAATAAGACGTATCTTTAGATCCTTTGCAAGAGGGTGAAATACGAGGAACGTGCGCCTATGGACATGCTGCTGACATTGTGATACATGCTATGAAGGAGTTAAGAGAAGCTGGGTGTGGTGCTGCACACCTACTGTCGCTGAGGCAGGAGAATCGTAAGTGCAAGCCCAAACTTGGCAGAAAAGTGACCTAGCAAGACCCCCGTCTCAAAAATGGAGAGATAGAGAAATGGATGGACAGATGGGTGGGTCAAAAGGGCTGGGATGTAGCTCAGTGCAGAGACCATGGGTTCAATTCCTAGTGCAAAACAAAAACACACACAAAAATAACCTTTCATTTGGTATTTAAAGTATGGCATCTGGGAAGGATACATCTCTCTATATATATGCATATTTGCCACTGGCTTTATATATGTGTTGTATGGGTTTTTTGGGGGTTTTTTTGCCCTGAAGGATGAAAAGGACTCGGGCAGAAACGAGACAGGTGAGGTGAGGAGTGGGCTAACCAGGAGAGGTCTTTTAAATGGATGAGGACATGGTCCCTTGTTTTCTTCAGTTCTGTAGTGATGGGTGTCAAGAGTGATGATAGTGGCTTTGGCAGGTGCTAACTCAGTTTACTGAAAGTACACCGAAGACTTCCTCTAGGAGGTATTTAAGCGAGGAGTGGATGATAAATAGGCATGTGTGGGAGTGTAGTCAGCGAGCGCTTTGCAGTAACAGTTCATCGGTAAGTTGGTGTTGCTGACTTACTTGGACAGCTGTAACACAAGTAATGCAAGTTGCCTCTGGAATCTTCAGCCCAGCAAACATTTTGACTTTTGAAATGCAGGAGTGGTAGCATTCAGAAAAGTATAGATTTTAGTTTTGTCTGTTTTATAACATTTTAATATGGCAAATACACAGTTCACTTAGCCTGTTTTTTTAAAGATTGTCATATATAGAAACCAGCTTTTGAAAGACTTTTGGTATTATTTAAAATTATTATAAAGGGCCGGGGAGATGGCTCAGTGGAATAAGTGCTTCCCTGGCAAGCGCAAGGGCCTGAGTTCAATCCCTGGTTCCGAAAAAAAATAAATAAATAAATTTTTTAAAAAATAAATAAATTATTATAAAAATGTTAACGTAGGAAAACAGTATAGGGCCAGGGAAATGGCTCAGTGGAATAAGCACTTCTCCGGCAAGCGCAAACACCTGAGTTCAATCCCCCGTTCCACCAAGAAAAAAAAAAAAAAACAGTATAATAAATTGCCATGCACCTATTGCTTAACTATAACCATGAACATTTTTTATTTCACTTCATTTTTCTTAGTTGAAGCATTTTAAAAACAAGACAACCCCCAGCATATAAAATACTTTTCTTTAAAAACTGACATTTTCCTATATAATCATAAGACCATTATCAAACCTAGCAGAATTAATAATTCCTTAATATAATTCAACTGAATCCTTATCTATGATTGTCCCAGTTATCCATAATATATCTATATAATACATTAGGTTCAGACATGCCCCATCCCTATCTTTGGTTGTTTTTTGTTATTGTTGTGGTTTTTTGTCTTTTTGAGACAAGGTCTCTGTGCAGCTCAGGCTGGCCTTGAGCTCACTTGGTAGCCCAAGGCTGGTTTGAATGCACAACGAATGATCCTCCTACCTCAGCTTCCTGAGTGCTGGAGTTACAGGCATGTGCCACACCAGGCCCTGTTTTGGTTTTTTAACTAGCAGTGGCGTTGAGCCCGGGCTGCCTGTTGAACTATATCCCCCGCCCTTTTTACTGTGAGACCAGGGTCTCACCAGCTTACACAGGCTGGGCTTGGACTTGCCTCCCACCTCTGCCCCAGAGCATGGGGGTTTCCTGTGTGCATCACCATTTCTGGCTTCTCTTATTCTCTGAATCCAGGACAGTTGGGTCAGCCCATCCCGCTGTTTTTATTGTGGGAGCTTTCTGTAACATTTTCTTGCTGAGAATGGAGCTGTTCTGTTCACTGTCCCACCTTTTGGATTGGGCTGTTTCTTAAGTATAGAAGAATACAATACAAATTCCCTGTATAATTTCCACTTCCAGGATGACTTCTGTTCCCATTTTCCCTCCCTGTTAGACCTCTCTCCTTCCACACATATAGCATATGTAATTAGAAAAACTGAACAACACAGAGCAAAAAAAAAGATGACAAATGGAAAAAGCTTTTCTTCACCTGTCCCCCAAATTGAGTAGTGAGAACTTCATTTCTTTCTAAGTGAAGGTGTTAACGTGTTTGTAGGCTGCTATGTGAAGGGGTGCTTTCTTTTGAATCACCTCAAAGATGACTTCAAAAACAATTTTTTATACCAAAATGACTCATACAGTTATATAGATAATGTTCCATTATTAAACTCCTAAAAGGATTTATTCTCCTAAAAGCAGTGTAATTTTCACATTGTGCAGAGTACCGAGACTTCTGTCTTACTCCCACTAACCTACACAGTTCGGCCTCTTCGCTCAGAGACTCCGCACAGACAGCCCAAGAAACCAATGACTATCTGGCTAAGGCCAAACAGGCCCTCAAGAATTCCGACCAGCAGTAGGCCCAAAAACACTGAAAAGTGGAAGATTCTGTATCTGTCTTCTTTAGAATTGGAGCTAGGGATTTTCCAGCTGGTGGCCATATCGTCACTGTTGAGATTTGTGAGACCAGTAGGAGACACACAGGAATCATTCAAGAACCATTCCAGACGGAAGGATTCAAAATTGATGTTACTGAAAAACAAAAGAGAGGGTCAATATTTCTGGGGTGGGAGTGGGGCAGGAAAACAATGTGCTTTTGAAATACCGTGCCCAGCAACTGTAGCTAAGAGCAGGTTTTCTGAGCATGGATCTAGTTATAAAGTTGTGTTCATTCTGTAGCCCATCATTCAACAAGCATTTCTATAAAACACCTGCTTAGGGTGAACCACATAAAACTGACTGAGTGTCAGCAGTGGCCCGTGCTTTAACCTATGTATATGGATACTTCTACTGGCTAAAGGTAGGGATCCAAGTGCCTCCCTGGGAGGGAGTGTTGCACCTACCCTTAACCAGAGTATGGTTTTTTCCAGGTATATCTGATGCAGTCTGTCCCTGTTCAGACAGCGCTACGGAAAATGAAAAGCCGTAGGACATACACAACTAGCTCAAGGTGAGGTTTCCCTGGTTAGGAAGATGGAATGTTCGTAGGGAGTTTGTATTTCTGCATTTTAACAGCTGACTTTGGATCTGGGAAAGCAGCAGTATTTGCAGCACGTGGAATATGAGTGAATCTCCTTGGTGAAGTTGTCTAGGAGCATGGGGTCTCGAATCAGGACCTCCCCTCATTAGCCACCACCCCCCAGACGGGGTGCCTGAGGACGGAATGCTGCTGGGCCCCACCTGCTGCCTGGGGAGCCCTTCTCCCTGAGGGCCTACTGCTTTTAGGACCTGTGCTGGAGATTTCTACTCTTGCTCGTAGGGGTTTTCATTCACAGTTAACAGTGCTGTGCAAATTTTGAGACTTTGTTCTTTCTGATGTATTAAACTGATAGGAAAAGGAGAAAGCATGTGTTCACATAAATAAGTACAAAGGCAAATCTGGTTATTTTCTAAACTGAAAGTCTCCAGCAAGCTAATCAATGAGATTACTCTTGCAGTTTTTATAAATTATGTCTACACTAGGACATAGAACCATCTTAAAGACTGAAAGAGCTATGTACATTAATGTTATCATACTGTTATTATAGGACCTAAGTTTTGTATTGTCAGGTCAGCACGAATCTAGTGGCTGTTTTGTTTCTTTGAAGGTCTGCAGCCAAGGCTCTAATTTTATTTTCTGTTTCTATTACACTTTTTATCGTAGACTATATACCCAGAATTTACAAGTTTATTTAGCTGCAAACTGTAGAAAGTAAATGTTCGCTGTGTTCCTCCAGGGTGTCCCCCCATGTCCATTGTCCAAGGATGAAAGTTTCAGGTGTGTATGTCCAAATAGGTACATGTGTTCGTAGCTCCCCCACCCCAGTACTGAGGACTGGATGCAGGGGCTCATGCCTGTCAGGCAAGCTGCCACTGAGCTACACCTCCAGCCCTTTTGTTACACATAGTTCTGAGAGGAGCTTTTGCTAAATTATTCAGGCTGGCCTGGAACTTATACTCCTCTTACCCCAACCTCCGAGTAGCCGGGATTATAGGTACATAAAACCACACTCAGGGCATTCTGAAGGTTGTGATTCCTTCATTTCTATGTAAGATTGTGCCTTTAAAGATGAATAAACTAAATTCCTGAGAATGTTTGAACCAGTAATTGCATCAAAGAAAAGTACAGGATTGCTTGCATACTGTGTTTCTAATGTAGATGCAGCTATATAAGACACTAAGACAATGAACGCGTTTACTTACGTTAAGTTTTTCAGTGAAAATTCACAGTTGGCAGTATTGTTGACTTGAGAGTTACATATAAGAGGGCCTTCTGCGAGAGCCTGGACCGATACCAACACACAGTACAGAGCCCCAATGACTGTGATTACGTTCAGAAGTGATGACAGAAACATCTGGAAAATGAAGCAGAGCCATTTGCACACGTTACTGCTTGTCCTCGGTGTGTTCCAAGTTTGGGCAGCACTGACAGCCTTCTAATCAACTGCTGTCACTCTGTAGTCCTTGGTAGGTCTCAGATTAGGTGTGAATGGGCAGAGGGCAGTCCGCCACTTGCTTACACTCGTTAGAAGCTGGCTGAGCCTGCCACTGTCTGCAATAGCCCAGGCTTGTCTGTTTCACCCGACCGCCGAGTCTGGCATCTGCCCTCTGTGCCGTGTCCTTGCTACTTCGTAGAGCCTCAGCTAGACCTTAGTCTCCCGCACTTGGAGGTCTCGTCACTTGCACTCCCAGTCTGCAGTCTGCACTTGGCCAGGGTGCTCTCAGGGGCCAGCAGCCAGCACCCCACAGTGATCCGTCAGCGGCACAGGGTGGAGCAGGACTTGTGCACTCTGCTCCATGTGGATACTCAACGGCATTCCTGATCCCCACCCAGCAGACCATATTGTCAGTTCTCCCCAGGTCAGAATGACAACCAAAAATGTCTCCGGGCAGAGCCAAATGTCCCTTTGGGGGTGGAGGTGGGGCTAACATTGCCCACAGTTTAGAACTACCGTGTTGGAGGGAAAGATTGTAGGCATCTTTTATTTCATGAGTCAGTCACGAAAGCAGAAAAAAGCATAGATTTCAGCATACAAAAAATGAATGCATGTTTTCTAAAAACAGTCTGTTTCAGTGAGGTTGTTAGTGATGGTTATGATTATTTCAAAGTGCAAAGTAAAGCGAGAGTACTTTGCTTTGCTAGGACACTTTATTTTTTTACTTATTTATTTTGCAGTACTGGAGATCCAACTCGGGACCTTGCACTTGGGAGGCAGGTGCTTATGCCGCTGAGCTATTCCCCAGCCCTGCTAGAATGTTTCATTCCTGCAGCATTTGTGTGCTGTACTCTTTAGACCTCCTCTAATAAGCTAGGAGCGCTGCCTGTCCACTTGTGCTGGGGAACACTGGCTTGACTTGCACTTTCTCACTTAAGCCTTTTTGCACAGCCCCAAGGAAATGCTTCCTATTGCTGTTCTCATTTTATGGAAGAGAAAACTGCAGCTTAGAGAAGTTGACAAGCTCAGTCTCAGCTAAGGAACATGGGCACATGGGTTTGGGGCGCTACACTAACTCTCTTAACTCTAAGCGCAGAATGAAGGGCTTGGAATGGAATTTAGATCACTCCCGTGACTCGCATATGCTACTTAAATGTATTCATCAAGAAGCACCACTGTGTTTACTTTCTGTTCACCTAGTATTTCTGACTTCCTACCAAGGCACCCTGCCATAGCAAGTGTTCTGAGCGTCTGTGTTTTCTTAGCGCAAGGACTCATTTAAATGATTCAGCCAGACCATGTTGTATCCAGAATGAATGAGAGAAAAGGAAAGATACATACGAACAGTTAAAATAAGGGAAATAGTTAAAGATGCACCTTGGTGGCCCCTCTCCTGTCCTCACAATTTAGAGTCACTTTTATGATGCCTGGGTCTTATCTAGACTTAGAAGATAACCAGGGCTGATTTCTGTAGAAGCTCTTACCTGGCTGACAACAGGCAAGTAAAGTTACTAAGATAGTTTTATGATATCAGTTAAGCAAGATAAGAAGGCCATTATGTTTCAATAGCACTGTTAACACAGCAGGGGCAGTGTTATCAAGTGCAAGGGTGGCACTCCAGGGGTCCTGGAGACCCTCAGCCTGGAGTCCTCGGAATTGCTGAAGCACGGCTGAATTTTTTCAAGTTTGGTATCAAGGAGCAAAACCACCTACAGTCTGAAGTAAGTCCAAAACTTGCCTGGAAAGTTGCTCTTCTACTTCCTGCTGGCTGTTTCCTTAGTGGAGATACAATTTAAAGAGATCAGTGAAAATATGATTGCTTGTTTATGAAAGAATATTTGCGAAATTTAAAAAAATGTGCAATGAAAATATGATTTGAGAATAAAATTACTAAGTACCTTGATATTTTTTAATTTAAGGATTCAAAAGTATCAGGATGTCTTTTGCAAGAATGCTGTGAGTACAACATAGCAACAGTGCAGAGCCAGCCTGCTAGTTGTCATGGTTTAGGAAGTGGCACCCAGGAGAAGCTGGGACCCAGCATTTTTTAAATACCTACAGCGTGTCAGAAACAGGCTGGAAATACTTCAAAAATTACTGTAATACTAGATCAATATCAAATGTCAGAGGAGGCAATTTATTTTAAAAAAGGATCTTTTGTTCTGTGTACCAATATCCCCTTCGGACCCAGATTCCTGGGCTAGGGCCATAGCTCAGCGGTAACATGTGTAGTAAGCAGGCCCAAGGTTCTGGGTTTGATCCCCAGCACTGGAAAAATCAAAATCAAAAAAAAATTTTTTTTAATTTTTTGATGCAGGGTCTTGCTGTGCAACTTGGACTTATAGTGTTCCTCCCAGCTCAGCCTCCCCAGCACTGGGATTACAGGTGTATGCCGCCATGCTTGGTTTTAGTGGCCAGTACTACACGCCCAGAACCAGTTCCAACAGTGGAGTTGCCTTGGATGCTTCTGAAAAACACTGATGCAAGGGCCGGCCAAATAGTGGATGAAAGCACCTGCAAGCAGGCAGGGGCCAGGGCTTCGATCCGGGCCTGTCGTGCCGCCTGAGACAGGCAACTGAGGCTGGGCGTGGTGGCGCTCGCCTGTCATCCCAGCTTTTGGGAGGCTGTAAACAAACAGATCACTAGGAGTCTGGTCTAGTAGTGAGACCCTGAACACCCTGTAGACCCTTCCCTAAATTACAAAAAAAAAAAAAAAATCGCTGACACAGTCTCTGGGCAGGGGCTCATTGCAGCATTGTTATTTTCAAAACTTCCCCCGAGGATGTGCATGTTCTCACTTTACTGGGCACCATTGTGTGAAAACCATGGACTGAGATGATAGCTTGGCGCTCTAAGTGCCTTTCTGGCAAGTGCAAGGACCTGGGTTTAATCGCTGGTGCCAGCCACCAAAACCAGGCATGGTGGCACACGCCTGTAATCCCAGCACTGGGGAGGGTGAGACAGGAGGATCACTATGAGTCCAATCTGTGTAGCAAGACTCTGTACTAAATAAATAAATAAATAAGATTAAAAAAACTTAAAACTTCTACCTCTGCCAAATTCTGCCAGATATTTCCTGTGACTCGTTACTGACCTACCCATTTCCTTGGAGAATGAGGAGACCTTAAGTGTTACTTGAAAGCGGTGTTCATGGCGTAAATAGTGTAAAGGTTGTGAATTTTGGAGTCTGGTGGATTGGGAAAATACCTACTTTCTAGCTCTACTATACTGGCAAATTACTTGCTTTTTCTGAGCATCAGTTTCTTAGTCCAAAAAAACCCCAGATCTTACTTTCAGTTAAGGGTTTGAGAGAATTAAATAATACTTACACTGTACTTGGAAGTGTTCTGAGCAGAGTGACATGTTGATAGTTACTAATTTACTCTTAGTCACAACTTTACGCAGAGTAGGTAAGGCATTAAATGTTTAAAAAAGAACAGCTAGCTTTCTGATCCCAGCAAGCCAACCTTTCCTGCTCACAAGAGAGCTGGAGATACGTTAGCTTGGTGTACACCATGAAATCAACAGGCATTTTGTTGCTGATTTGGGAGTGTTTGTTTTGTTGGAGATGGGGACTTGCTAAGTAACTCAGGCTGGCCGTGAACTCACAGCGATCCTCCTGCCTCAGCCTCCGGCGTGCAAGGATTGCAGGTGTGTGCCACCATGTCCAGCTGAGCATATTGTAGTAGGAAGTTATTAAATCAGCTGCTCTGGAGTGATTTGCAACCTTTCTTTGAAAACCTTTAGACAAACTAAAGGGGACTAGAGACTGACAGGTGGCTCCATAGTAAGGGTTTTGTAAGAAATGGAAAAGAATGCCCTTTCCATATTCAGTGTAGTCGGGTGTGTCTGAGACTGTGGCCCTCCCTCTGGCCTCCAGAGGCGCTGACGCCTCAGGCCTGCCTCCTCAGAAGTCTGGCTGTCCAGGCACTTCTGCTACCAAGCCGTCAGCTGCACACTCACCCCGGTCTTGTTGTTGCAGCATCCCCGCTTCCTCACTGCCAAGGACATCACGGTTGCGGGAACGGCCTGGAAATTGCATTACAGGAAAGATGAGTATTAGCCCTTCCCATCAGATGAGAAAGCAGTAATCTCTGTCCTCCGTTTATCACCAGTGGTGCAAAATCAAGGCTCAGCAAAGCAGAAGAGGAAATTTAACAATACCCTTATCTTAACTTTGTGGTTTCAGTTTCAACCATAAAGATTAGAAGGTGGGGAAGGGGCTGGGCGTGGTGGCACACACACAGTAAGCCCAGCACTTGGGAGGCTGAGGCAGGAGGGTTGATGGATGGATCAGTGGATCAATCGATCGCTGTGTGTTCACGGCCAGCCTGGATTGCATAGCAGAGACCCAAGTCTCTCATCAGCATTCGTAGTTCACTCTGAATCACTTAGGGAGACACTTGCATTTAAATAGGATGGCTGTGCACTCTTTTGGAAAGACCATTTCTGGAAGAATTGGTTGCATCATCCAAATTTTGCTTTTCTTCCCCTTTTCTCCCCTTGTTATTACAACCTAGTATGAGTTACTTTAGCAACTTCCTATAAAATATGAGTTCAGCAAGCCCTCAGGAAAGAACTAATTTTACAGGGTGTGATTAAAAAAAAATACAGTGTATAATTTTTTAAAAGTATGACAGTGAAGGACCTATCACCACTAATCCCTCTTAAAAATAATCCTTCTCCTCAAAATGCATTTATCCCTACTGTTAGTGCCACATTCTGAAGCAGTTTGGGACTCCTCTTTCATGAGTGTCTTAACATGGCATGATCAAAAACACAGCGCTGCCACCGGGTGCCGCCCACCAGAAGGCCAGCCTTGCAGAAGTGCTTCTTCCTCCTCCGTCTTCTTCTCCAGACTTAGTGCTGTGCAACCTCTAGCTCTTCCCCAAAGTCAAAATGTTCAGTCAAGGTAAAAGTATCGAATCTGTTCAGGAGGAGACTGCCACAGCAGCCCAGCTAAAGATGTCCTGCAGAAGGAGCCCAAGAGCTGCTTCGGAAAGTGCCAAGAAGCTCTTTGTGAAGAGGGGCATGGATGGTACCGTGTCCTGTCCTGTAGGACTTCTCTATTTGTATGTAAGCCTTCACTGCACGTTTCATCGTCCCCCGTCACCTCTACCTACTTACCTAACTTCCAGGATCACTACTGTGTGCCTACTCTCACTAGCCTGTATTGGAAAATTATTTTTGGTCCTACATTCCTTCTGCTCCTCTAATCCATGATTTGTAGTGATCTTACTTTGCACTGACATTGAGAAGCCTTTGTGTGTGCAGTTCAGGCTGGCTGTGTGCTGTTTTATTTTTGTTGTTGTTGTTGTTGTTGTTTAGTGTATTTGGTGCAGGGTCTCCCATGCAGCTCGGACTCAGTGATCTTCCTGTTTTCAGCCTCCCAGCAGTAAGATTACAGGCACACACCACCACGCCCAATCATGGTAGCTGACCCAGCATGTAGTGCCTGATCCCTGTGCTTGCCTAAGCAGACTCTTAACTTCAGCTAGCCCTGTGAGCTCACTTTGTAGCCCAGGTTGGTGTCAATTCACAATGATCCTCTTGCCTCAGCCTCCTACTTAGGAGATGCAAGATTACAGGCATGTGCCACCGTGTCCAGAAGCCTTGTGTACGTTTATTCTCTGGTGAAAGAAAGCTTACAGACACTTCTTTAGGATCAAGTTCCTGTCCTGTGACCAGCTTGTCGATTGTTCCCGCCATGAGGAATTGTACATAGTACGTACTTTAGAAGACTCAAAACAAAGAAATGGTCAGAGGAAACTACAGTTTGATGACTTTGCATGTATGTGCATAACTTACTCCCAGCCTTGTCTGTTTAACAACATAAAACTACTGTACTGTATTGTACAAGACAACCAGCAGAAATTATAGTACTGTATAAGCAAAGTTAACTGTACCCAAAAAAATGACAGTGTAGGCATCTATCAAGATGTGTAAAACCATACCCCACCCTACCCCACCACAAAAAAAAACCCAAATGATGGTATCGTAAATCTGAGCAGCAGGTCCTAAGTCTGAACTGCCATTCATCAGGTCATTAAACAAAGAATGTGTGTTGATAAGAAATGGCATCATATTTTCAGAACTTAGAATTTAATTCTTACTTAGCAGCTATGGCTAGAAATTCTAGAAGGAGTTTGTACTAATGAGGCTGTGATATTAACGACTTCCACTTATCAAACTTCAGTTGGAAAGGGGTTTGCAGCCCAGCTCCTGCTAAGTGGTTCTCTCCGGCTCATATCTGCAGCAGTCCTGTGACATAGGTACTATTTTAGCTCCATTCCAGCAAGGAGAAAGCTGAAGCACAGTTAAAGTAATTTGCCTGAGAAAGCGAGAGAGATGGGATTCAAACTAGGCATGGACTTCAGAGCCAGATTCTGAACACTGGTCCACACTGATCCTTACTGTTCTCCTTAGTCCTGGTACCTACCCCTGTAGCCCTGGCTACTTGGAAAGTTGAGACAGAGCTGCAAGTTTGAGCCCAGCCTTAGCAACTGAATGAGATCCTGCCTCAATATCAATTTTCCAGGGCTCTAGTAGAGCACTTGCCTGGCATGCATGAAGCCCTAAGTTTCATCTCCAGTAGCACAAAATGGAAAAAAAGAAAAAAGAAAACTTTCTACATAAAATTTACGCCTTCTCTCCCTCGCCACCACTGCCATCGCTCTTCTCTTGGACCTTCTCCCTGCCCCATTCCCTGCCCTTTTATCCAGGACAGCCTCCTCCTCCCTTTACAGATAACACTTTGTGCCACCTGCGTTGTTCTCAGCCTTTGCTTGCACATTTCCCAGAGCCCAACACCCTGACATTCCAGACGCCACCTGTACCTGCGCTGCTAGGCCCTGGGGGCACAGTGGGGGGCCGGGGTGAAAGAGGAAGGAAATGTTCACCCCCAAGTAGGTGCCCGCGTTCATGCACTAAACCGCTCGTACACCATACTGCCTTCTGAGGTACAGAGCAGCACACCATTTAGCGCTGGGACTGACAGTCTCTGTCCTGCCACCTCTGGTATGTAAATGAAGCTTTATTGGCACAACATCACTCCATCTTGTTTGCGTGTTGACTTAGGAAATGAATGAATGAAGATTAATAATGCAACAAGAATAAAAATTGGAATAGGGGAATTAGAGTATGGTTCCTTTTTTTTTTTTTTGAGACAGGGTCTTGCTGTGCAGTTCAGGCTGGCCTTGAGCGCACTTGGTAGCCTCCAAAATTCTAGGATTACTGTGCTACCATGCCCAGTTCCTTTTTTTTTTTTTTTTAAATGCAAACACTCATCCACTTTTAGGAGTTTTTTGTTGTTTTGTTTTGTTTTATTTATGTGTGTGTGTGTGCAGTACCTGGGGACTGAACTCAGGACCCTGCTCTTGCCAGGCAAGCACTTACTATACTGCGCTGTGTCCCCAGCCCCACTTTTAGAAGTTAGTCACACACTTTTACAAAGGAAGTACAGAAGAGCTTTAGGCAATTTTGTGATTGAATTCAGACATTGGGGTAACACAAAGCTCAGCCTAAATATAAAAACTATATTTTTTAAATGTTCTATACAATCTTTCTCATCTGTTTAATCTTCAGCTGTTAGTTTTCTGTTAATATTTTGATAATTGACTTTGATAAATTAGGACTGTAAAAAGTAAGCTCAATAAAAGCATGACTAAGACCAGGCTTACAGTTAAGCTCATGTGAAATGGCCTAGTACCCGAGCAAACAACATTTGCATCGATTTTTCCACTGTAATAATAAGGGCTGAGGATCACACAACGCCGCTGCCGCCCCTGTTTACTTGTGGCCGGCTCTGTAAATGAAGTGTGTGTCGTGCTTTTCAAGGAGTTTGATGCGGTAGTGACATTCTTCTGTTGGTTAGTATTTATTGAGGGTGGTGAAGTCCGTTTACTGCAGAACAAGAAAGTCCAGCTTGTCTGAGACAGTTTCTCGCATGTATGTAGCCTTTCTATGATTCAGTTTCCCTTTTGCTTAACTTCATAGATTAAGTTATCGGTTGTATTCTCCCACTCTGCCTGCCTGGAGCAGGCATGGAAGCCTGTGTCATTTTACTAACTTTGGAATCAGATAAATCTGGAATTGGGTTGTACCCACTGTGTGACTAGTTAACATCCCCAGCCTTCTGTTTGCTGGTCTATAAAGTATAAATTTTATCTGCTCAGATTATTGTAGTTTAATAAAAAAAATAAAAGGTAACTGTAATATAGGAACCTAGTAGTTGGCATCTAGCAAGTTAGCAATAAATAGCAATAATTAATGTCCCTCCATCATGTTGTTAAAATGTCTTTGTCTCTTCCCTTCCTCTGTCCTTGTTTCCCTGCAAAAGAATACAAGAGCTATAAATAGACCTGTGTCAGCACCTCCTCTGGCTTATCTAATGCTAGTAAGAAATATATACCTAGAGCTATGTGAGTTAATCCAAGTGGATGGTCTTAGAAATGGTTGTGAGCTCTATAGAAATCACCATCTTTAAGTTATTCCTGGCCAGCTTCCCCTGGCTTCTGCCTGCCCCAGATGTAGATCAGCCTCTTCCTCCTCAGACAGGGAGAAGCCGCCTTCCACAAGGTGAGAGGGCGGACCTGAGGACCTGCAGTTGTCTTATGCAGCTGAATAGTATATTTCCTTTCTGCTTGGAAGAGAGCTTTAAGGGCAATTTAAAGAAGTAATCCAGAACTTTCCAAAAGCTTTTCTCTTCACTCTGCACCCAAAGAAAATTAATAGATTGCTAAAAGGAAAAGAGAACATCAACCTTTGGGCAGAATGGCTTTTTGATGCCAAAGTGGTCTTAAATCCCATTTTCCAGCCAAAGAGAAAGTTGTATTGAAAGTTGAATATATAATGGCCTACGAATGTCTTTAATATACATCTGAGGATAAAATCGGTAGCCATATCTGGTTATCATTAAGAATTAATAATTGTTAATGGTCCTGGGTGTCTCTTTTTCTTTTGTGTATGTCCTGAATTTCCTTAAAAGTTACCTATATGATTCTTTATCTCTAAAACATGGATAAATAGCCGTTGTGCACAGCTGGCTATGTCTGTCTCTGTCTCTCTCACACACACACAAACACATACACACTCACACACACAATCCAAACAGAAACTCCTTTGCCACTAGCATAGAAATGGTGTAAGAAACAACTTCCAGGTTCCTGGGTGCTGACTTTTCAACTTCAATGTCCACATCCCCGTTTACCAACATAGAAATAAAGCCACAGTATGAGGTGGTCTGGGTCACGTGCCTGTCACCCTAGCTCCTCTAGAGACTGAGGCAGAAGGATTACAAGTTTAAGGCCAGACTGAGCGATTTAGCAAAACTCTGTCTCAAAATAAAAATTCTAAAAGGAGCTGGTGAGGTGGTGGGAGAGCACTGGCCTTGCAAGACAAGACCCTGGGTTTAATCTCTAATACTGCAAAACAACAACAAAAAAGAACCTGAGATGGATGTGTTATGTACAGCAACAGATAGCAGATAGACCTACTGCAAGATATTCCTCGTGGTCTGAAATCAGTGTTTCGCAGTGGGTCCTGCCCAGCCCTGCTGCATCAGAATTCCTAGGGGGAGGGTAAATCTAGCCCCCAAGTGCTTTGGGTGCCTCATGAGCAGACACCTTCACCAGTTCTTCATTACACACTCTGCTCCAGATTTCAACAAAAGTAGACTTGGAAATAATCACTGAACTATTAAACTCCATGATGCACTGGGATTTATGTAACAGCCGAATCAAGATGTCTTTGAGGTCTATATCTTTAGGCCTACTCCACTCAGACACAAGTAGTGCCTCCCAATTATCATATTCCAGGACAGCCAGTATGCATAGAAGTGTGCTTATTCTTTTTCTTCTTTAACTTTTTAGACAGTCTCGCTATGCAGTGCAGGCTGGCCTTGAGCTCACTTAGTACCCCAGGCTGGTCTTGAACTTGCCTCAGTCCTCGTGCTGCAGCCTGCTGAGTGCTGGGATCACAGGCATGTGCCTCCGCACCTGGCTGTCTTCTTTATTCTTCCAGAACACCTCTCCAGTCCTACAGTATTTCCTGCAAATACTCAGAGCCTGTTCTGGGGCTGGGGAAAGTTGAAGGAAATGTCCCACGGGCCCAGCTGTCCAGCTCAGCCATAAACCATGTGAACCAGGTGCTTAGCGTGCACAAGGCCTTGGGTTTGATCCCTGGCACTACAAGAGAAGAAGAAAAATGGGGGAAAAAAGTCTCTGTACAGTTTAGAAGAGTCACCCTACATGTGAAGAAATATGATAGGCAGTAACAAACTTTTATCAGTTTCTTTTTGTTTTACTCAAACTCAGTAGCTTTGCTTGGATTAAATTACCACTCTTTACTGACAGCCAGTACACCCCCTTACTACAGCACTGTTCCTAACAGTTGTTAAGAAAGCATAGCCAACTGCAGGGATAAAAGACAGTTGTTACGATTTGGTAAAATAAAGAAGCCATTCTCCAAGTAAAGTCAAATAAATATTACTCACCAAACCTGCTCCGATAATTCCCGGGAACCACCACTCATAGCAAGAGATGGGGTTTTGAAAAATTGTATCCTCCTCAACTAAGTTGATGCCCAGAGGGATGGAGTTGAGGACCACCCCTGCCAGGAGGAGGGCCAGCAGGCAGAAGCCATTGCAGGACGTCCATCCTTCGCAGCATGTCATGCTCACCTGGCGTTCGGTTAGAGCCCTGGGAAAGCAGCTGGCCCTGCGTGGCGGTGTCTAGCCTTTTATAGCACACATTCTGGTTAAAGTTTAGCATTTATCACTTATGAAAAATGAATTGCGAAAAGAGGATCAGAGTCCAACAGGGCAGGCCATTATTATGAGCATTGTGATGGGAACGAAGGATCACTCCGTATTCTGATAGGGCGAAGGGAAGTAGAAAAAATCTATAGTTGCTATATGAGATTTGCACATGAAAATAGGCAGAGGAGAACTAAAGAAAAAGGATAGGTATACGGCAAACTCCCCTGAAATAATCCTTTACTATATCCCTAATAAAGAGGAAAAACAAGTATATACTTTTTTTTTCAAGTATTTGCTACAGGGTCTCACTAAGCAGCTCAGACTCATAGTGATCCTCCTGTTTTCAGCTACCCTGGCACTGGGATTACAGGCCATGCACCCCTATGCTTGGTCTTGGTGGCCAGCTCAGTGCACCTGGGGTGGTGCCAACACAGTATGTGGTGCTGGGGATCAAACCCTGGTCTCTGCACTTGCCAGGCAGTCACTTAGTCCACTGAGCTATCTTGCCAGCCCTGAGTATATCTAATTAACGAAACTTTTTCCTGCATTATTGATATTCCTATCAGCTATGGACTTTCCATACTGTGAAATGATTCAAGAACATGAACATTTATGAGGTTAGAAGGAAAATATTTTCTGCAGATATTCTTGATTAGTCAAAATCTTAGGGTTCAGTTTCAGGCTGCTTACTGATGTGCAGTAATTTTTAGTGTCCTATTCCAGTCTTGTAGACCAATCCATGTGGAGATCAGCCACCCGAGATGTGAGGAGCCTGGCTAGCAGGAGAGGGTGATCTGGGTGGGAACCAGGGTGGACGATAGCATCAAGAGGGAGGGCAGAGGAGGGATCACTATGCTGTATTTTATTTAGACCTTCAACACATATTTGACCCTATGCTGTACTGTGCTTCCTAGCTCTAGCCAGTTCCATATGGTCTCCCTACTAGCTTTTGAGCACCTCAGAAAACACTGAGTTGGGATAGGCCTTAGAACCCCAGTCCTCACTCACACTACCAGCAGTCATGAGCCCCAGAGACACTGTGCTCGTGCTATTCCGGAGAGACCCAGAGGACCGAGGACGCCATGTTGGTCCAGGAAGTTACAAACCTGAAGAGACAAGGTAAACACGTGGTAAGGGCCTCTGCATCCAAGTGTTTCTGCCTACCTCAGATCCCCATCGTATCTCTCACCTGGCTATGCTTGAGATCAAGTGAGCAGAGAAATACGAAGCAATGGTACAGAAGGAAGAAAAGAATCAAGCTTTAGATAGTCAAGTAGTGCTGGTGCCTTCCTCCTGCTGCTGTGTAACCCAGGCCCAGTTCATAGCAGATCCAGCAGGTTCTGCAGGAGAGGTAGAGCGAAGAAGGGCAATAGTGGAGTCTCCAAGGAGGGGTGGAGGAAGAGGAGAAGGAGGAGGAGGAAAAGGAAGAGGAGAAACAGATGTGCAGGTGACACGCCTTGTGGCTTTAGTAGGGGATGGAGAAAGGGTTCTGCACTTCTTAATGACTTCTCCATTTCTACACTATGCAGACAGGACCTGCCTTTGCTTTCTGTAAGATGTTCCTATAGTCTCATAATAAATTACCCTTTCGTTATACTCTTTCCAGGGCCTTCCTTAGTGCCTTCTTCCTTTCTTTCCTTTTTTCCCTGTTCTTCTTTCGCTCTTTCCTTTCCTCCTGTTCAGTGCAGTGGCTGGGCCTGAGGGACTCACATGGTAGATAAGCGCTGTACCACTGAGCTACACCCACTGCCCTACTTGCTGTCTTTCTGAAACCAAAAAATATGAATCCGAAAGTTTCCAAAAGATAAGAAAGTAAAGTATTCTGATAAGTTCTCACATGGGATATCAAAAACAGCAAAACCCCAGGTGTTTGGGAGAAGGAAGGATTCTGTCGAGATGGGCTGGAAACCAGGATTCCTGTAAGCTTTGGGGGTGACTAGAATTTGACACAAAAACATGATCAGGAGAGCATCTCATGTACCAGCGTCATTTGCTGAAAACTGAAATTCTCACTGTGTTGAACAAGAAGAGATGCAGTGGGGGTGGGGCGCAGTGTGCGAGCTGCTCTCAGCGCAGGCGCAGGCTGGACCTGGCTGGCTTGTCTGCAGGACTGCTTCCCGGGACCTGATGGCTGAACGGGCCCCAAGGGAGCCAGGGGAAGTAAGAAGCCTCCTCTGGATCCATCCAGCTCAAGCTCGCCCAACTGCAGCTGCGGGCCAGGTCCCACGGCCATTCTCCTCCCACCGCTAAGTCCTCCAGGCTAGTGGCTGGACCCCGGAACACTGAATCTGACAACTGCTGCCCTTGTAATGGCTCTTAGCTTCTGTGAAAGTACTGTCTGCAACAGGAGCAGCACTGCACTGGACATCTTCCTTTTTAACAGCACCACACAGAAGAGCAAGACAATGGCCTTCACTTCACGTGGTCTTCCCTATCACAGCTCCTCTCAGGTTGTAGCAACAGCCAGACTTTAGGTGCAGAGGATTCTGGGAAATGTAGTTTCTAATCATCCCACCTCTGCTATACAGAGGGCTAGATGGACGTTGAACGAGACATTGAAACCCAGCTCATCTAGGGTTACCATATTCCAGACCTTTTAAAAATCATTCTATGTGCTTATACTTTAAGGGCCGGGGAGATAGCTCAGTAGAATAAGCACTTGCCTGGTAAGTACAAGGCATAATTTCAATCCTGGTTCCGCAAAAAAAAATATATATGTTTGTATTCTATAATGATGTGTAACATTTAAAAAATAACTTTTGGCACCCATACATATCCCTCAAGCTCCACCCAATGAAAAGGTCACATGACTTTAAAGACCTTCTCAATGGTAGGCAGTGTCTTCTGCCTGACCAGTTTACTCCAGGAGGTCCAAGTGATGTGAATGGTGGCAAACTCCACCACGATACCCATGTATTCTCTCTGAACACACTTCAGAAAGAGCAGTTTCATTGGAGCGTGCGATTTGTAGGGCACGAGTAGATAACCATCCATACAAATCATGCATTTTCCCTTTTAATTCCATTTCTTTTCTGATACATTTCCCAGAACCCCCTACCCTTCCATGTCGGTGGGACTGTGGGACTACCATTAACCAGGGCAGAGAGGAAAAAGCAAGCTGCATCACTGTCAAGCCAAAGGGCTTAAGAAGTGATAGGCTTTGGAGGCTGGGGAGATAGCTCAGCGGTCTACGTGCCTGCCTGGCAAGCGCAAGGACCTGAGTTCCATCCCCCATGCTGCGTGCAGTGCTGGCCCTGGAACCCCCGGGTGCACTCTGTGGCCCCTGAAATGGCATGGTGGCTCCTACCTATAATCCCAGCACTTGGGAGGCTGAGACAAGGAGGATCACTATGAATCCAAGCTGCCTAGTGAGACACTGCAACAAATAAAAAATAGAATGGTAGACTTAAAAACAAAAAAGTGATGGGCTTTGCCTACCCTCTTGTTTTAGACAACATGTCTTGAAAAATGTCCACACAGCAGTGCATGATAGATGCCTCTAGTTCCAGCACTCTAGACATCTGAGGCAGGAGGATGGCAAGTTCAAGCCCAGCCCAGACTATTTAGCCACTTAGTAGTAACACAGTGTCGTAAAAGATAAAGGCTTGGAGATGTCGTTATGCAGACCCTGGATTCAATCCCAGAACCACTAAAAGGAAAGAAAGGAAGGAAGGAGTAAGGAGGGCAAGGAAGGGAGAGAGGGAAGAAAGAAGGAGAGTGCAATGCCACCATTTCCTTATACCTAGACCCTTGAACCACAACAAGAAAAGGAGCTCCCCCAGCCTGAGGTCCCTTCTTCCAGCCCAGAATTGCCCAGGGTGGCTGACTCGTTGGAGATGTTTTGCTCACATGTTACAGAGCTAGCCTTGCCCTAGTAAATCCACCGTGTCCCTTGCTTCCCCTGTCCGCCCTCCTGGAATCTCCACCTATGTTGCCAGATGTCAGCTCCATCACTCAATGAGAGCTCTGAAACAAGACCAGTGAAACACTATGTTTTCCTAGTGTTTTATTAAGCAATTATATCTTGGAAAATAAGGAAACAGAAACTGTAGTAAATGTGTAGTTTATAATTGATAAAAGCAAATATATATTTGCAGAAAGTTCATAAAATTGTCATTTCAAAAGAACAAAATGAATACATTTTTAAAACATTGTTTTAGTCCACTCAGCTCATGACTGAGGCTTTGCACCCTCAGGAGGTGAGGTTTGCCTGTCTTTTGCTGCAATGCAGATTGTGACTAATGGCTCACATTGAATCAAGGGCAAATTTTTCACATGAACAAATTTTAATGCCCACCATAGCGAAGTTATGTATAAAAGTATCGGCTTCAGAAGAGACATGCTCAGAGTATGAAGGTGGAAGCCAATGAGAACGTACCAGAAATTTTGAGAATTCCATGAATTCATGTGCTGGTAAAACTGGAAAGATCTTTAGGGATTCTTAGTTCAAATTTATTATTTTATAGACCAGCAAGGCTCGCAGAGGTTGGCTGACCTGTCCATGGCAGACCTCTTTAGCAGAGTCTGGACTTGAATATGGTCCCTTGATTTCTAGTCAGGTGTATTTCTGTTAAGTTTCATGGCTCAATATCAAGGTGACCCTGAAGCAATTAAAGTACAGAATGTGTGCAAAGACAAGAGTAGATGAAAGAGCCTGCTTGGCTCCCAGCAGCACCTGCCCAGGAACAAAGGCTGAGTGGCCACCTAGTAGGAGCTGCTTCTGCAGCTGACCATCTGCTGGCATCAGCCTTCCTATAGCAGCAGCCACAGGAGTGACAGCCACAGGAGTGATAGCCACAGGAGTGACAGTCACAGGAGTGACAGCAAACAACCATGGGGGTGCTGCAGCAGCCCCCATAACAGCTACAGCAGCAGGGGCAGCAGCCAGAGCAGCAGCTGACCCAGTAGCATCTGTA